CGGTAAAGTCACGTAGAAGGGAAATAATACAAATAATACAAATAAAACATAATAAAATAATATAATAATTTAATATAAAAAAATTATTTTAATTTTATTATTTCCCTTCTACGTGACTTTACCAAAAGAACCAAGAAGATGAATCCCTGCAGTCACGAAAGCTTTAAATCGAAATATTAATACAATAATATAATATTATTTCCTCTTCGACGTGACTTTACCGAAAGAACCAATAATATGAATCCCTACAGTCACGAAAGCTTTAAATCGAAATTGTTTGCATCTGTTAAAATAACGCACCGTATCGCACATGTGGCGGTGGCGCACGCCGGTAAAGCCAGCGCTGCAGCGGGCGGTGGAGGCAGCAGCCAGGATTGGTGGCTCACACACGGATCGGATTGTGGAACTCCCTTCTCGACCCGCGTGCTTTGAGAAGGTTCGCCAGGCGAGGGCGATACTACAGCGGGTGGACCGATCGCCGTCTGTCTAACACGTAGCAGGCTTTTGCGACCAATATCATCCATAATATAGTTTTTTTGGGTTAGATCGCGTAAATATAGAAATGTGTTGTTAAACCCGCCACCACCCGACACAGCCCACTAGTACAACACACCGGTGTGCTGAAGCAGTAACAATTAGCAAGGTTTGTAATAATACATCTTGCTAATTGGTCGTGGGGGGGTGGGGCAGGGAAGGCAGAGGGGGGGGTACATATACAATAGGTGACGTTTCAGGCAATGAACCTTCTTCATAAAACGCACGTAACGACATCACCTTTATCCCCCGCCCGTCTATTTAGGACCGAAGAGAATTTCTCCACAAACTCTCTGCCTGTCCGCCCGATGATGCTGGTTGTTTCACTTACGAGCGAAACTCGTAATTGTAAATGTTGTCGTGGCTTTACTCGCCAACACACATCCGGTTAGTGCCAAACTAGTAACGAATTGGCACGTTCTGTTTACGTGACAAATCTTACTAATTGGCTGTGTCGGGTGGTGGCGGGTTTCACGACACATTTATATGTATGCATCTAACCCAAAAAAAACGATACCATGAATATTCTTATATTATGAATTTGCCAATCTTATTTGACAGACAACCATTACAGTTTTACCATGTTTAGTGGTGGTCTCCCTGTCACAGATTGAGTCACAAACCGCACCTCTCCATAACAAAGGCTCAGCCTTTGTTATGCAGTCTATTCTTAGTCTTAAGCCTCACCTTACCATATTAATAATAAGTATGCGGCCCTTGCCCCACCACCTTTTCCAACCATTATATAAACGGAGTGGTGGCTTCTGCAATCTCTCATTTACTTGATACAGCTGTCGTGGCTGTGACGGTACCACCTGAAGACGGAAGCTTGTGTTGCCTCCGAAACGTCGTGATTTTTATTTTAATTTACTTTTCAATGTTTTTACCTACGTGACTTTACCGAAAAAACCTGAGAATATATTACGAATGATCGCCATCTGTTTCCATCAACACGGGGATTGAGTGTTTCCACCTCGCGCAAGGCATGTGGTTTTCTCCGGGTGCTCTGGTCTCCTCCCCGTGTGAAGCATCACAATAAACGCGACTCATCATTCATTGGCCGAAAAGATCTTATAAATGAAATCCCAATCTGCATATGTGTTGTACGTACGTCGAACTTCTTTTGCACCGTACGTAGCCAACCGTGCTAATCGGAGGTGCGGGGGAAGGACAACTGAAGACAAACATCAGTTCTAAAGAAATCAGTGGGTGGGTGTGTGGGTGGGTGGGTGAGTGTGTGTGTGCGTGGGTGAGTGTGTGGGTGTGTGAGTGTGTGAGTGTGTGGGTGGGTGGGTGAGTGGGTGTGTGAGTGTGTGGGTGGGTGGGTGAGTGTGTGGGTGGGTGAGTGTGTGGGTGGTGAGTGGGTGGGTGGGTGAGTGTGTGGGTGTGTGGGTGGGTGAGTGAGTGAGTGGGTGGGTGGGTGGGTGGGTGAGTGGGTGGGTGTGTGAGTGTGTGGGTGGGTGGGTGAGTGTGTGGGTGTGTGAGTGTGTGGGTGTGTGAGTGTGTGAGTGTGGGTGGGTGGGTGGGTGTGTGGGTGGGTGAGTGTGTGTGCGTGGGTAAGTGTGTGGGTGTGTGAGTGTGTGAGTGTGTGGGTGGGTGAGTGTGTGGGTGGGTGGGTGGGTGTGTGCGTGGGTGGGTGAGTGTGTGAGTGTGTGGGTGGGTGAGTGAGTGTGTGGGTGGGTGTGTGGGTGGGTGAGTGTGTGGGTGGGTGAGTGTGTGGGTGAGTGGGTGAGTGTGTGGGTGTGTGAGTGTGTGGGTGGGTGAGTGTGTGGGTGGGTGAGTATGTGTGCATGGGTGAGTGTGTGGGTGAGTGTGTGGGTGGGTGAGTGTGTGGGTGAGTGAGTGTGTGGGTGGGTGTGTGGGTGGGTGAGTGGGTGGGTGGGTGAGTGTGTGGGTGGGTGGGTGAGTGTGTGGGTGTGTGAGTGTGTGGGTGGGTAAGTGTGTGGGTGGGTGAGTATGTGTGCATGGGTGAGTGTGTGGGTGAGTGTGTGGGTGGGTGAGTGTGTGGGTGTGTGAGTGTGTGGGTGGGTGAGTGTGTGGGTGGGTGAGTATGTGTGCATGGGTGCGTGTGTGGGTGAGTGTGTGGGTGGGTGAGTGTGTGGGTGGGTGAGTGTGGGTGGGTGTGTGGGTGGGTGGGTGGGTGGGTGTGTGAGTGTGTGGGTGGGTGGGTGAGTGTGTGGGTGTGTGAGTGTGTGGGTGGGTGAGTGTGTGGGTGGGTGAGTATGTGTGCATGGGTGAGTGTGTGGGTGAGTGTGTGGGTGGGTGAGTGTGTGGGTGTGTGAGTGTGTGGGTGGGTGAGTGTGTGGGTGGGTGAGTATGTGTGCATGGGTGTGTGGGTGGGTAAGTGGGTGGGTGGGTGAGTGTGGGTGGGTGAGTGGGTGGGTGAGTGTATGTACGTTTAACTTCTTTCGCACCCTTGTCAAACAAGAGTGTGCCTCTTTTGGATAAATAAGTCAATGGAAAATTATTGCAATGTATCATAATCAATGTATAATGACCATTATTTTCAGCAGTTATTGTCAGTGAAATATTTTAAATGCATTTTTTAAAATCAAGTTTCAATTGCCTGCCCTTTGTCAAACCACTGGCTGGATGGATGGAAGAGATTATGGACACATTATCTAATAGTTTGCGGGTCATGTAGTGGCAGATAAAAAAAAGATACCCAGCACGTTCATCAACTCCCACTGTGGCCTTTAAAAGTAAAAAAGACAAAATCAAACGGCAAAACGTTTGAAGGCGGTGGCCCTTTCTCCAAGCGCACATTGATGAGGTGGTTGAGCGGGCTGAGCGAGAGCGGCTGGCGATCTAAATGTCGCAAGTTCAAGCCTGGGTCAGGGGCCCGAACTCGGCTCGTCGTCTCTCTGAAGAGAGAAGCTCAATGAATGGTTAACGGCGCGGTTGCGTGGATCGATAGCCCTGCCCTCGTCCACGGGAATGTGAAATTTTCGCCACTGCAGTCTCGATGCTCATTCGAGCACGAAATCACTTCCGACTTGACTCTCATTGCCATTCCATCGAGTTCTTTTGAGGTTGTGTGAGGTTCTGAAATCACGAATCCCGTGGGTCGAATGGAACTGAGCTCAGCGCAACCGGCTTCTGCCCCCCTGGGACGTGGCTTGCGTTGAAGCCGGACGCAAAAAACACGCGAATTGTGGAATCAATTCGCCCATGTCACCGACCCAGAACCGGCCCTAGACCTTTGGGGGCCCTAAGCAAAATTTGGTTGGAGGCCCCTTTGATGTATTATTTTTTTCACCCACTCGCTAGCAGTGACTCTAGGGGGCCCTCTGCTGGCCACGGGGCCCTTTGCAATTGCAAGGGTCGCTTAGTGGCTGGGCCGGCTCTGCACCGACCCCTCCACTCCACGATCGCACGCCGACAAATCGTTTGAAAGCTCGGCGTTACCGCCCGGCCGTCCATAAATGACGTCACGCACCTAGGGGGGGGGGTGTCAGACATTTGTGACGATGTGTGACGAGGGGGGGGGGGGGTTGAGAAATGTGACGTCACATCAAAATGCGCAACTTGAAATCAATATAGACAACACGTTCTACTTAATTAAATAGACTTTTTAATAAATGTTTTCTCCTACAACACCAGAGTGCAGCGCCACATTAAATACGCACTACAATGACAATAGTTTAAAGCGATTTGAAGCGTGTTTTTTTTTGGGGGGGGCAGAGCTTTGTGACGTCATATTTGAGGGGGGGTCTGACTTTTTGTGACGCCGTGTGACGATGGGGGGGGGGGGGGATCAAAAATCGTCCAAAATCGCGTGACGTCATTTATGGACGGCCCCATATGCACCCCATGACGATTTACGGCAACTTTGTAAATCCGCTTGGTTCACCCAGATGTCTAAAGATTCACACAGAGACCCATAGACTCACATAGAGACCCACAGACTCACACAGAGACCCACAGACTCACACAGAGACCCAAAAACTCGCACAAAGACCCACAGACTCACAGAGACCCATAGACTCACACAGAGACCCATAGACTCACACAGAGACCCACAGACTCACGCAGAGACCCATCGACTCACACAGAGACCCATAGACTCACACAGAGACCCAGAATGACATGGTGGAGCGTGGAGTGCCTGTGGGACGCCGCAGCGATCCCGTCTCACCCGCCAGGGCGATGCGACCCTCCCTGTGTCTCTCTGTGTCTCTCTTTGTGTCTGTCTCTGTGTCTCTCTGTGTCTCTCTCTGTGTCTCTCCCTGTGTCTGTCTCTGTGTCTCTCTGTGCCTCTCTCTGTGCCTGTCTCTCTGTGTCTCTCTCTGTGTCTGTCTCTGTGTCTCTCTGTGTCTCTCTGTGTCTCTCTCTGTGTCTGTCTCTGTGTCTCTCTGTGTCTCTCCGTCTCTCTCTGTGTCTCTCTGTGTCTCTCCCTGTGTCTCTCTCTGTGTGTCTCTCTCTGTGTCTCTCTCGTGACGGCGCTCTCTCTGTTTTCCCCGCAGACGAACTCGCCGCCCGTGATCGTGAGCACCGACACCCTGGACTCGTCGCCATACGTGAGTGGACGCCTCCCCCGGGGCCGTCGCCACCTGTGTAGTGGGTTCGAATCAGGCGCACACACACACGCAGCTTGGAGGCAACACTATTTCTTAAACGGTAAGTAATATAACGCCGTACATGAGGTGGTGACCACCTTCCTCAACTCACTAACCACTCTGGGACACGACACAGAGTGGACCAGGCAGGCGACGGGCTGCCTGGTCCAGGACGACGACCCGGGACTTGAGGACCGATGATGATGTCTTCACTTCGGAGTGCAACAGCCTCGCTCTGCGTTCACACCCCGCTTATATACCCTGCCCAGGCCACGCCTCCCTTCCCAGGCCACGCCTCCCTGCCCAAGCCACGCCTCCCTTCACAGGCCACGCCTCCCTGCCCAGGCCACGCCTCCCTTCACAGGCCACGCCTCCTTTCACAGGCCACGCCTCCCTGCCCAGGCCACGCCCCCTTCCCAGGCCACGCCTCCCTTCACAGGCCACGCCTCCCTTCCCAGGCCACGTCTCCCTTCCCAGGCCACGCCTCCCTTCACAGGCCACGCCTCCCTGCCCAGGCCACGCCTCCCTTCACAGGCCACGCCTCCTTTCACAGGCCACGCCTCCCTTCCCAGGCCACGCCCCCCTTCCCAGGCCACGCCCCCCTTCCCAGGCCACGCCTCCCTTCCCAGGCCACGCCTCCCTCCCCAGGCCACGCCTCCCTTCCCAGGCCACGCCTCCCTTCTCAGGCCACGCCTCCCTCCCCAGGCCACGCCTCCCTTCCCAGGCCACGCCTCCCTTCACAGGCCACGCCTCCCTTCACAGGCCACGCCTCCCTGCCCAGGCCACGCCTCCCTTCACAGGCCACGCCTCCCTTCACAGGCCACGCCTCCCTGCCCAGGCCACGCCTCCCTTCACAGGCCACGCCTCCCTTCACAGGCCACGCCTCCCTGCCCAGGCCACGCCTCCCTTCCCAGGCCATGCCTCCCTTCCCAGGCCACGCCTCTCTTCCCAGGCCACGCCCCCTTCACAGGCCACGCCTCCCTTCACAGGCCACGCCTCCCATCCCAGGCCACGCCCCTTTCACAGGCCACGCCTCCCTGCCCAGGCCACGCCCCTTTCACAGGCCACGCCTCCACCCCCAGGCCACGCCTCCCTGCCCAGGCCACGCCCCTTTCACAGGCCACGCCTCCCTACCCAGGCCACGCCTCCATCCCCAGGCCACGCCTCCCTGCCCAGGCCACGCCCCCTTCACAGGCCACGCCTCCCTTCACAGGCCACGCCTCCCTGTCCAGGCCACGCCTCCCTGCCCAGGCCACGCCTCCTTTCCCAGGCCACGCCTCCCTTCACAGGCCACGCCTCCCTTGACAGGCCACGCCTCCTTTCCCAGGCCACGCCTCCTTTCCCAGGCCACGCCTCCCTTCACAGGCCACGCCTCCCTTCCCAGGCCACGCCTTCCTGCCCAGGCCACGCCTCCTTTCACAGGCCACGCCTCCTTTCCCAGGCCACGCCTCCCTTCCCAGGCCACGCCTCCCTTCCCAGGCCACGCCTTCCTGCCCAGGCCACGCCTCCCTTCACAGGCCACGCCTCCCTTCACAGGCCACGCCTTCCTGCCCAGGCCACGCCTCCTTTCACAGGCCACGCCCCCTTCACAGGCCACGCCTCCCTTCACAGGCCACGCCTCCCTGTCCAGGCCACGCCTCCCTGCCCAGGCCACGCCTCCTTTCCCAGGCCACGCCTCCCTTCACAGGCCACGCCTCCCTTGACAGGCCACGCCTCCTTTCCCAGGCCACGCCTCCTTTCCCAGGCCACGCCTCCCTTCACAGGCCACGCCTCCCTTCCCAGGCCACGCCTTCCTGCCCAGGCCACGCCTCCTTTCACAGGCCACGCCTCCTTTCCCAGGCCACGCCTCCCTTCCCAGGCCACGCCTCCCTTCCCAGGCCACGCCTTCCTGCCCAGGCCACGCCTCCCTTCACAGGCCACGCCTCCCTTCACAGGCCACGCCTTCCTGCCCAGGCCACGCCTCCTTTCACAGGCCACGCCTCCTTTCACAGGCCACGCCTCCTTTCCCAGGCCACGCCTCCCTTCCCAGGCCACGCCTCCCTTCCCAGGCCACGCCTCCCTTCCCAGGCCACGCCTCCCTTCCCAGGCCACGCCTCCTTTCCCAGGCCACGCCTCCCTTCCCAGGCCACGCCTCCTTTCCCAGGCCACGCCTCCCTTCACAGGCCACGCCTCCCTTCCCAGGCCACGCCTCCTTTCCCAGGCCACGCCATCCCTTCCCAGGCCACGCCTCCCTTCCCAGGCCACGCCTCCCTTCCCAGGCCACGCCTCCCTGCCCAGGCCACGCCTCCCTTCCCAGGCCACGCCTCCCTTCACAGGCCACGCCTCCCTTCCCAGGCCACGCCTCCTTACCCAGGCCACGCCTCCCTTCCCAGGCCACGCCTCCCTTCCCAGGCCACGCCTCCCTTCACAGGCCACGCCTCCCTTCCCAGGCCACGCCTCCTTTCCCAGGCCACGCCTCCCTTCCCAGGCCACGCCTCCCTTCCCAGGCCACGCCTCCCTGCCCAGGCCACGCCCCCCTTCACAGGCCACGCCTCCCTTCCCAGGCCACGCCTCCCTTCCCAGGCCACGCCTCCCTGCCCATGCCACGCCCCCCTTCACAGGCCACGCCTCCCTTCACAGGCCACGCCTCCCTTCACAGGCCACGCCTCCCTTCACAGGCCACGCCTCCCTTCCCAGGCCACGCCTCCCTTCACAGGCCACGCCCCCCTTCACAGGCCACGCCTCCCTTCACAGGCCACGCCTCCCTTCCCAGGCCACGCCTCCTTTCCCAGGCCACGCCTCCCTTCCCAGGCCACGCCCCCTTCACAGGCCACGCCCTCCTTTCCCAGGCCACGCCTCTCTTCCCAGGCCACGCCCCCTTCCCAGGCCACGCCTCCCTGCCCAGGCCACGCCTCCCTTTCCAGGTTACGCCCCCTTCACAGGCCACGCCTCCCTGCCCAGGCCACGCCTCCCTTCCCAGGCCACGCCTCCCTTCCCAGGCCACGCCTCCCTGCCCAGGCCACGCCTCCCTTCCCAGGCCACGCCTCCTTTCCCAGGCCACGCCTCCCTTCCCAGGCCACGCCCCCTTCCCAGGCCACGCCTCCCTGCCCAGGCCACGCCTCCCTTCCCCCACCTCTGGGAAGGTCCGGGTCCCTTCACCACCACGTGACCCCCCCAGGCACCCCCTTGGGGCCCCCAGCCCTCGTACGGGCCGACACAGCAGTGACCGTTCTATGTCACTACACATGCGCGGAGTGAAATCCGCAGCCGTTTCGAACGCAGCGGCCGCCCTAGGTTCAACGCCGACGGTCATCATGGGGTTCTTAATTCTAGATTTTTGAAGCTTTCGTGACTGCAAGGATTCATACTCGTAGTTCTTTCGGTAAAGTCACCGTGTAGGTAAAAAATGAAATTAAAATTAATAAAAATAAAACAATAAAGAAACATGATGCAGAAAATCTGGCTGTGACGGTCCCACCTGATGACGGAGACTTGTGTTGCCTCCGAAACGTCGTGATTTTTATTTTTATTAATTTTAATTTCATTTTTTACCTACATGGTGACTTTACCGAAAGAACTAAGAGTATCATGGGGTTTTACCCTGTCTGGCACCCCGAGCTCGCAATGTCCTGACAGTGGCGTTGTCTTTGTGCTGGTCGCCTCTTGGGGTCATCCTCTGGTCTAGCACCGTTTGAGACTTGGCTCTAAAGAAAGTTGTCTCTGGTGTGGACCAATCAGTTTAAAGGACAATGCATCTCATCGACTACCAGAGCATGTGTTTGTTTTGTTTGCATGTTCACCACAAGTTTACGTGTTTAATGCAGACATGAATCCTTGCAAAAGGTTTCAGGTTAGTGCTTTAACATCTGAACACAACTCCTGTTTTATTGCCAGAAAGGGTAAACACCAATTCCTCCCCTCCCTCCCTCCACTTCCTCCGTCTCCCCCTCACTCCACTCCCTCCACTCACTCTCTCTCCCCCCTCACTCCACTCCCTCCACTCACTCCCTCCACTCCCTCCACTCCACTCCCTCCACTCACTCCCTCCACTCTCTCCACTCACTCCCTCCACTCTCTCCCTCTCCCCCCTCACTCCACTCCCTCCACTCCCTCCCTCCCCTCTCTCCACTCACTCCCTCCACTCTCTCCCTCTCCCCCCTCACTCCACTCCCTCCACTCACTCCCTCACTCCACTCCCTCCACTCACTCCCTCCACTCACTCCACTCTACTCCCTCCACTCACTCCCTCTCCCCCCTCACTCCACTCCCTCCACTCACTCCCTCCACTCTCTCCACTCACTCCCTCCACTCCCTCCCTCTCCCCCCTCACTCCACTCCCTCCACTCACTCCACTCACTCCCTCTCCCCCCTCCCTCCACTCTTTCCCTCTCCCCCCTCACTCCACTCCCTCCACTCACTCCCTCCACTCTCTCCACTCACTCCCTCCACTCTCTCCCTCTCCCCCCTCACTCCACTCCCTCCACTCACTCCCTCCACTCACTCCACTCACTCCCTCTCCCCCCTCACTCCACTCTTTCCCTCTCCCCCCTCACTCCACTCCCTCCACTCCCTCCCTCCCCTCCCTCCACTCACTCCACTCCCTCCCTCCACTCCCTCCACTCCCTCCCTCCACTCCCTCCACTCCCTCCCTCCCCTCCCTTCACTCCCTCCACTCCCTCCACTCCCTCCACTCCCTCCACTCCCACCCTCCATACAGAGAATGAACAAGGGAAAGGGGGGGGAGGGCACAGAAAAATTTATAAAAATCTGCCGCGCCGTACTGAATGGGTGCAGCCCAGCAGGGTTCAGGTTTCCGTGACAGGTTGCAGGTTTAGTTTCTTCGGCGCTTTGCTGAAAGTGGGGGGGGGGGGGGGTGGCGGGGGGCCCTGTCCACCGCTCAATCTCCTCGAGGATCCACGCCTCGTTGTTTGTGATAAAACGTGGGAAGCGCGACCACACCACGTGGTGGTGGTGGTCGTGGTCGTGGTGCGTCAATCGATCTTCTCTCGCTCTCTCTTGCCCATCGGGTTTCTCCCGCTTGCTCTCTCTCTCGATCGCTCTCTCTGTCGCTCTCTCTCGGTCGCTCGTGGAGTTTGTCCGCTGTGTTTGCGCGTTTACTTTTCGCCGCAAACGGGGGGGGAGGTGGAGGAACGAGGGAGCTCAGAATCAGACAGAATATTTATTTTAAAAAAATTGTAAATGTTGTGGATTCACTCTTCAACACACCGTTGGGCTAAAGTAGTGAACTATTTGTCTTTTGCCAACGTGACACTTTTTTACTGATTGGCCGAATCGGGTGGTGGAGGGTTACGACACATTTATAAATAACGCGATCTGACCCAAAAACGTTTATTATGAATAATATTGGTCGCGAAAGCCTGCTACGTGTTAAACTGATCAGAATATTTGTTCGCACCGGAGGAATCCGATGTCACAACAACAAACTGTTCAAAAACATTAAATGAGTGCCAAGTACAATGAAGAGTAAACAAATCACCCGAAACGCGTACGAATACAATTAAACCATCCCCCATCCTACCAGGCAAAGCCCGCTGAGGTATTCACTTCGCCAACGAAGTGGCTTTTGACACAGATACTTCAAGCGGCCAAACATTCTCAACGCATTTTGCAGCAACGTCGCCCGAAACGTCTTGGAAACCCAGCAGCACCCCTCCTGGACATTTTTCTTTTCTCCGAGACTCGGCGAGGCTTCCTCGGAAGCGAGGGTGGCCTCCGGCAACGCGAATTTCCACCAAAAACAAGCGTGCTCATAACAACAACAACAAACAACGACGCTCACGAACTAACTGTCCGCGATGTTTCTTCTTTGTTGTTGCAGCTGAACGGAACGGACGTGGACTACGAGTATGAGGAGATCACGCTGGAGAGAGTGAGTTCGGCCGCTGGTCGTTCCGCCGACCCTTTGCACCCGTGACGAACCTCCACGCACACGGCCCCAGGGCTGCCAGGAACGCTTTGGAGTGTCCGTGCGTGCGCGTGTGCGTGCGTACTCGCGCGAACGCACGTACATGTGTGGGAGCGGGAGTGCAGCGGTAGCGCTACGCTGCGCTACGAACCCCGTCCACAGGAGTTCGATTGCCGCTCACGGTCAAAACCGGTGACGATTATTTGAACCGGTCCTGGGCCTCCCCGAGGTCGACTCAGCCTAAAATGAGTACCTGGTGCGGTGCGTAAAAACATCGCTACTGGGGGAGACAAAGGCGGCCGGGCGTGGTGCTGGCCACCCACCCCCTCGAGTGCCGTTCCGGCTTTCATAGGTGCTCGCTAACAGCACTTGCCACAACAGCCTGTTAAGGCTACACGGGGGATCTTTGTCTTTAGGCACAGGCTGGCCACAAAGTTGTCTTCGCGTGAGAAACGGATAACGTTCGCCTGTTCCGACCGCTCCGTGTGGTTGCCCCTCCATTCTCATTTGCGGTGCCCCATGCATCTCCCGGGGAGATTATTCCGAGCGGGCGATGGTGACGTACTGCAGGTGCAGTGCCGCACGGCTGTTTAGAGTCTCTCGGTGTTTGTCGATCTCTACGTGCGAGGGATTCTCCTTGATGATGCCCCCGAAGGGAGGATTTGTCATCACGCTGTCTGCTAGGGACCGTTTTTTTTCCAGTAAGATTATTTAAAAAATAAAATAACAGAAAAGGCTTTACCCTTTCTGGAGAGCGGTGAGGGTCGGTTTGAATTTAGACGGGAGGGTGGTGAGGGTCAGGGTGAATTTAGACGGGAGGGTGGTGAGCGTCAGGGTGAATTTAGACGGGAAGAGTGGTGAGGGTCAGGGTGAATTTAGACGGGAGGGTGGTGAGGGTCAGGGTGAATTTAGTCAGGAGGGTGGTGAGCGTCAGGGTGAATTTAGACGGGAGGGTGGTGAGGGTCAGGGTGAATTTAAACGGGAGGGTGGTGAGGGTCAGGTGAATTTAGACGGGAGGGTGGTGAGGGTCAGGGTGAATTTAGACGGGAGGGTGGTGAGGGTCAGGGTGAATTTAGACAGGAGAGTGGTGGGGGTCAGGTGAATTTAGACGAGAGGGTGGTGAGGGTCAGGGTGAATTTAGTCAGGAGGGTGGTGAGGGTCAGGGTGAATTTAGACGGGAGGGCGGTGAGGGTCAGGGTGAATTTAGACGGGAGGGTGGTGAGGGTCAGGGTGAATTTAGACGGGAGGGTGGTGAGGGTCAGGGTGAATTTAGACGGGAGGGTGGTGAGGGTCAGGGTGAATTTAGACGGGAGGGTGGTGAGGGTCAGGGTGAATTTAGACGGCAGGGTGGTGAGGGTCAGGGTGAATTTAGACGGGAGGGTGGTGAGGGTCAGGGTGAATTTAGACGGGAGAGTGGTGAGGGTCAGGGTGAATTTAGACGGAAGGGTGGTGAGGGTCAGGGTGAATTTAGACGGGAGGGTGGTGAGGGTCAGGGTGAATTTAGACGGGAGGGTGGTGAGGGTCAGGGTGAATTTAGACGGGAGGGTGGTGAGGGTCAGGGTGAATTTAGACGGGAGGGTGGTGAGGGTCAGGGTGAATTTAGACGGGAGGGTGGTGAGGGTCAGGTGAATTTAGACGGGAGGGTGGTGAGGGTCAGGGTGAATTTAGTCAGAAGAGTGGTGAGCGTCAGCAGTGAATTTAGTCGGTAGAGTTATGAGCGTCTCGTATCAGACTGCGACGCCTTGTTGATGATGCCCCCCCCCCTCTCGCTCTATGTGGTGAATTGTCACCTGCAGGGGAACTCTGGGCTTGGATTCAGCATAGCGGGAGGCACGGACAACCCCCATATCGGGGACGACCCCAGCATCTACATCACCAAGATCATCCCAGGGGGTGCCGCGGCACAAGACGGGCGGCTCAGGTGAGGCCCGCCGCTTACCTTGAGGATTCTTCATTGTTCTTCTTGGTTCTTTCGGTAAAGTCACGTAGAAGGGAAGTAGTAAAATAATAAAATAATAACATTTAAATAATTCTCACGACGTTTCGGCCACAACGCAAGCAGCCGCCCTCAGGTGAAAACCAGGTGTGTCGGGGAGACAGCGTCTGACGTGGTCTTCACCTGAGGACGGCTGCTTGCGTTGTGGCCGAAACGTCGTGAGAATTTCGATTTAAAGCTTTCGTGACTGCAGGGATTCATCTTCTTGGTTCTTTCGGTAAAGTCCCTTCTACGTGACTTTACCGAAAGAACCAAGAAGATGAATCCCTGCAGTCACGAAAGCTTTAAATCAAAAATTTATTATGTTTTATTATTTTATTATTTCCATTCTACGTGACTTCACCGACAGAACCAAGAAGATGAATCCCTGCAATCACGAAAGCTTTAAATCGAAATTTGATTACGTTTTCTTTTTATTATTTTATTATTTCCATTATACGTGACTTCACCGAAAGAACCAAGAAGATGAATCCCTGCAGTCACGAAAGCTTTAAATCGAAATTTTGTTGTTGTTGTTGTTGTTTAGCACGTACGGTGCGTAAGAAGTTCAACATAATGTAGACGATAGAGGTTTCTTTTTTTGGGGGGGTTACATGGGACTATCGTTTTTAATCGAAAAAGAACGGATAATACACTGTAAACATGATAACAAATGTAATGTTAAAGCTTGAAACAAGTCACAAAGTCTCCACTTGTTCACCATCGTTGTCGACGCGTGCCCGGAATCTTCTCCACGTGGTCTCAGAGACCGGAGGCAACACTTCTTGCGGTGTCGTTGCAAATTCTCAGAAGTGTTCTAATTTTTCTTTTTTAAGCACCCTGTATTATACACACGTCGTGAGAAACCGCCACCACCACCACCACCACCATCATCCGACACAACCGATTGGCAAAGCGGTTTGCCACGTAAACAAAAACAAAAAAACGTGCCAATTAGTCAACTTAGTTCAGCACTGACCGGTTGTGTGTTGGAGAGTAAAAACACGCCACATTTACCAAGTCGAGGACCGTGGCGCAGAGGTCGCAAACGGCTACCCGTACCCGTACCCGGCCGGGTACGGGTACGGGTACCCATTTGCGACCCTGGTGCGGCCGGGTACGGGTACGGGTAAGGAATCAAAACCCGATTGCGACCTCTGCCGTGGCGTTTCGCCGGTAATTATGACCAGCGTCATCAGGGACCGACCATAAATGGCGAGGAGGGGGGTGGGGGTTTGAGAAATGTGACGTCACATCAAAATGCGCAACTTTAAATAAATATAGAATTGTTATAACAACACTCCTACAACATCAGAGTGCAGCGCCACATTAAATACGCACTACAATGACAATAGTTTAAAGCGATTTGAAGCATGTTTTATTTTCAAAATGGAAATATGGTTTAAGGGGAGGGGCAGAGCTTTGTGACGTCATATTTGAGGGGGGTCTGACTTTTTGTGACGCCGTGTGACGAGGAGGGGTGGGTCAAAAGTCGTCAAAAATCTCGTGACGTCATTTATGGACGGCCCCTAACGGCGCAACGATACGAAGGAGGCATCGCAGCGACGGCGGTGCTTGCACCTGACGACGCTGTGACCTGCCTGGCAGAGGTCGCAAACGGATTTTGCTTCCTTACCCGTACCCGTACCCGGCCGCACCAAGGTCGCAAACGGGTACCCGTACCCGGCCGTACCTGTACCTTACCCGTACCCGGCCGGGTACGGGTACGAGTATCGGGTACCTGATTGCGACCTCTGGGATGAAGCCATGTTGCAGGCGCGGGTGGGTTGATTCTAGGAACTTGAATTGTGAGAAGAGACAAGACGTTGGGAAATGAGTGACCAACGGTGACTCACCAGTGACTCACGGTTTACCCGTACCCGTACCCGGCCGCACCAGGGTCGCAAACGGGTACCCGTACCCCGGCTGGGTACGGGTAGCCGGGTATCGGGTAGGGTACGGGTATCGGGTAGCCGGTTGCGACCTCTGCTGCCTGGGCCTTGACCGCCCGAGTGTGAAATTGTAGTCAGACGCTCTGCATCGACATCGTCAGCAGCCGTACGACAACACGGACGATTAAGTGCACATTCGCAGGCTCTTCGCTAGAGGGCAGTCGACGCGTTGTCTGTCTTCAAATCTCGGGTGTTGCCATTGGGGCTCGGGCCAGGCCACGGAGCCGGAGTTCACCGATTCTTGTGGTTTTTTTAGAGACTTCAACGGAGGTTACCAGACATCTGGCCCATCAACACCCCGTGTAATATTATTTCGCTCCACTCTCGTGCCCTCTCCTGTTCCCCCACCCTCCCCGCCCCATTGTGTGTCCATGCTTCGTCTTCATAGGCCCTCCGTCTAGACCAGGGGTGGGGAACATTTTTTTTGCCAAGAGCCATTTGGATATTTATAACATGATTAGCGGGCCATACAAAATTATCAACTTAGAAATTAGCCCGTTATATTTTTGACAGACATTTAATTGACTCGCCCCTAATGCGATGGCTGGAACTGCTTCTCTTTGGCGAGGCGCATGTGATGTTAGCTGGTATTGACGATGTTGCTGCTACTCGCAACTACTTTTCCAGGTTTGCTCCTAGATTTATTGAATTTCGAGTCCTGCCTGCGGTTGCCTTGGCAGGGCCACACCAAATGATTTCGCGGGCCTTATACGGCCCCCGTGGGCCGGACGTTCCCCACCCCATCTACGTGACAAACCATCAAAAATTGCCGGGTTAATGGTAAACTGGGCGATTTAATCGCCGGGTTCATCGTATTTGGGCGGGTCAATCGCCCGGTCGAGTCTCGTTGGCAATCAATCCACGGATCTTGTTAATGGTCGTAGAACAGCGGAATATATCGGCGTTATCATCGATTGCCAATGAATCGACACGGCGATTTAAAACCCGCAAGTGACCATGTACCCAGCGATTTTTAATCGGCCAATTACGATGATATTTACACGATCCGGCGAACCAATTCGCCGATCTCGCTGATATTCAGCCAATCAAATGATCATCAGTCGATCCACGGGTTTATTGGCAATATCGTTGACACGGAGATCAAACCCCCCCGCCCACCTCCTACGCATTTCCCATAAATATGCTAAATTCCTCTTGATATGCAAATTATTTTGTCAAGGCGCTCTTCTTCCCCCCTCCAACCCAGCTTAAATATACGCTCCAAGCTTGGTGGTGTTTCATTCTTCACCTGAGGACGGCTGCTTGCGTTGTGGCCGAAACGTCGTGAGAATTATTTTATAATGTTTTATTTTTATTATTTCCCTTCTACGTGACTTTACCGAAAGAACCAAGAAGATATGATAAACCCCTTTATTTTTCGAAAAAATTTACTCACATTTTTTTTTTAAATTCCTCATCCTCCCTCGCATCATACAACGTCCCGGATATTCTGGAGCGAAATTATTAATCGGGGGGGGGGCGGGGGGGGGGTTAGGTTCACAAGGTTATTGCCATTCTGGGCTCAGTTATTGAAGACTGGACCAAGGTTTAGGAATGGACAAGCCCAATGTGCGTGCGGTATTCTTCTTCACTGCATCTGAGCTTCATCTTCTTGGTTCTTTCGGTAAAGTCACGTAGAAGGGAAGTAATAAAATAATAAAAATAAAACATAAAATAATTCTCACGACGTTTCGGCGTGATAATTATTTTATTATGTTTAATATTTTTATTATTTTATTACTTCGCTTCTACGTGACTTTACCGAAAGAACCAAGAAGATGAATCCCTGCAGTCACGAAAGCTTTAAATCAAAATTTGCCTCTGAGCTCATAGCTTGGATGTTCCAGTGCTGAGATTGGGCAATTAATCCCGATAATTTTGTTTGTTTCTCATGGATAGACTGAGCGGGGATCGATGCGATTCATCGCGATTGATAATTCACAGTGACCATATATTGGGGGGGGAGGGGTGTGCGAAATCTCTGATCCGTGATTTAGTTGGGTGTACGATTTTTATCGTTAATCGCCACCAGCGCCGCTGCTGGTACAAAATCTGCCACTCAAAGGGCCCCATCGTCGCGTTAATACTCGACGTAAAATCAGAAAAATTCTAAACAAGTTAAAACAACACAGATATTTACACAATCTGACAACGTTGACGTGTGATGATGATGATAATAATAATGGTAATTTTGCATTCACGCAGGAAATCCCCGCAAATAACATTTCCCCCCTCCATGTTGATGGTTGGCAAGTCTGTGTCCCAGAGGTCGCAACCGGGTACCCGATACCCGTACCCTACCCGATACCCGTTTGCGACCCTGGTGCGGCCGGGTACGGGTAGGCCGTGAGTCACTGGTGAGTCACTGTTTGTCACTCATTTCCAAACGTCTTGTCTCTTCTCACAATTCAAGTTCCTAGAATCAACCCACCCGTGCCTGCAACATGGCTTCATCCCAGAGGTCGCAATCGGATACCCGTACGCGGCCGGGTATGGGTAGCCGGGTATCGGGTAGGGTACGGGTAGCCGTTTGCGACCCTGGTGCGGCCGGGTACAGGTACGGGTAAGGAATCAAAACCCGTTTGCGACCTCTGCCGTGTCCTGCACGCACAAGGGCCCTTTGTTTACTCCACTGCTGGATGAGGGCCATTCCGTGTGCCTTGTCGGGAGGGCATTGGGGGGTTCGCGCTGGACAGTACGCGGCGCAGAGAGGGGTGGGGTGGGGGGGTCTCCGGGTCCGCAGGGTCTGATATCACTCCTCACCACGAAACTCGTTGCGCCACGACCACCACCACCACCACCAACCCCACCACCACCGTCAATTATTCAATTGCACTCATCAAAATAACGAGGGCATTGGCAGCAGTGTCAAGGAAAATTAGGACGGGCACTCCTCCGACTCGCGGTTACGGATCCGAGCACTCTTGATGATTATCGAGTGATTGGAACGGTAGGTAAAAGGGGCATTGATGTTAATGAAAATGAGCCTCCTATTTGGTCCTTAATGGCAGGGTTGATTTGACCGTGAAGCGGGCGGTGATTGTTACACTGGCGTCTTAGGAACTTGGCACTCAGCCATCCTGCATTAGGGCAGGGAGGGGGGATGCATCATTTGAGGCTGAGTCGACCTAGGGGAGGCCCATGACCAGTTCAGATAATTGCCACCGGTCTTGGCCGTAAGCGGAAATCGAACTCGGGCCGCCGTGTTTGTAGCGCGGCGCGTTGACCGCTACACCAAAAACAAAGGTCCCCCATATAGCCTTAACAGCCTGTTGGGGCAAGTGCTGTTCGCGAGCACCTACACCACCACTCCCCACACACACACACACCCACAACCACGTGCACACCCGCTCGCGATGGGATGTTGATAACCACGTCCGTCCGTCCGTCCCCCTCATTGCCGTGCCCCCCGTGACCCCCCAGGGTGAACGACTGCATCCTGCGGGTGAACGAGGTGGACGTGGTGGACGTGACGCACAGCCGCGCCGTGGAGGCCCTCAAGGAGGCCGGCTCCATCGTGCAGCTGTACGTGCGGCGTCGTCGCTCCATGCGCGAGACCCTGGAGGAGATCAAGCTCATCAAGGGGCCCAAGGGTGGGTGGGGTGCGGGGTGACGACTTTTGGAATCGGTCCTTTTTAAATCCTTTATATTAAGTTCGGTTGCTTGCTTGCTTGCGTGCTTGCTTGCTTGCTTAGGACCGTGCAAATCTTTCGCTCGTTTTTTAACCCACTTCCCGTGATCCAATCGAGCTGACATTTTCCACACAGACTCGTTGTGTGACAATTAATTTTCGTGAAAAAGAAATTCCAAATTTTACACTTTTTAGGACAAAAATATTATATTTAATTACCAATTGCTTAATGGTGCAATGTAATCATCTGACCCATAGGTGGCAGCCATCTCAAGCCAGAGGACGAGAGGACTCTAGCCGCCACGCATATAAAGGATTTATAGTGAAAAACTTTGTTTTTACGGGTTAAACGTATTAAAACTAGGGCCCCGTTGTTGCTGTACGCGTGGCTAAAGCACAGCAAGTTGGCACAGTAGAGGGCACAGGTGGTGCATCAGGCAGTCATCTCGGTCATCTCAGTCAGCTGACCCGTGGCACCTGCTGGGTCTGCCCCGTGACCTCCTGCCAGCGGGCGTTCGACACTTCACGTGGCCTCAAGGTGCACTTGGCCTGGCACAAGCGTCGTGGTGACGTCACCGCCACTTAGTGGCGAATGGCGGTTGTTGTTGTTGTACGTTGAACTTCTTTCGCACGGTCACGTAGCCTGCCGTGCTCATCGCATGTGCTGGTGGAAGGTCAACACGAACTGCTTTTTTAAATCCTTTATATTAAGCTCACTTGCATATTGCTTAGGACCGTGCAAATCCTTCGGTCGTTTTTTAACCCACTTCCCGTGATCCAATCGAGCTGACATTTTCCACACAGATTCGTTGTGCGTGACAATTAATTTTCGTGAATTTTTTTTCTTCAAAATTTTACACTTTTTAGGAATTTTTTTTTATATTTAATTACCAATTGCTTAATGGTGGCAGACAATCATCTGACCCATAGGTGGCAGCCATCTCAAGCCAGAGGACGAGAGGACTCTAGCCGCCACGCATATAAAGGATTTATAGTGAAAAACTTTGTTTTTACGGGTTATACTTGTTACATGTTCAGCTTCCTTGTCCTTCCACCTGCACCTCCGATTAGCACGGTTGGCTACGTACGGTGCGAAAGAAGTTCACCGCACGTACAGCACGGCGCAAAAAGGAATTCGGCTAGTTGCTGGTGGCTGGCTGGATTAGTCGGTTATGGTAAGGATCATTGGCACGGCTATTTCATTGAATCCATAGAGCTCAAGTGAGTTGACCCCTAACCAAGATGACGGGTATGCGTGTGTGGGTGTGCGGTGCGCGCGAGTGCGCGTGCGGTTGCCTTCGTCTATTTCGTGTGCATGGGGAGCGGCGTCTCAGCGATTAGCGCGCCACGCTACGAATCCGGCGACCCGAGTTCGATTCCCGCTCACGGCCACCACCAAGCGCCGATTGTCTGTGAACCGGTCCTGGGCTTCCCCGTGGTCACCTCGGCCTCGAAAATGAGTACCCGGAGCGATGTGTCGTAAACATCGCCACTGGGGAGACCAAGGCAGCCCGGCACGGTGCTGGCCACCCACCCCCTCGCGTACCACCGGTCTGGCGAGGCAGTGCGCGTGCGGGCACGTGCGCGCTTTGCCCCGTGTCAATGCGCGCGTGCGCCGTTTGCCCTTCCTTCGGCCTCCAGGGCTCGGGTTCAGCATCGCTGGCGGCGTCGGGAACCAGCACGTGCCCGGCGACAACAGCATCTACGTGACGAAGATCATCGACGGTGGAGCGGCACTGAAGGACGGGCGGCTCCAAGTGGGCGACAGGCTCCTGGCTGTGAGCGACCGCTCCCCAACGCGCCCCCCCCCCACCGCCTGCCCCCCACCACTCCCCCCCCCCCCACCACTCCCCCCACCGCCTGCCCCTGCCCGCGACCCCCCCCCCCCCCACCGCTCCTTCCTGGGGATGTTGAGACCAGGGGGCTTTTCTGGGTGGAGCGGGGTGGTAATACCTGCGCGCACTCTTTAAGGGATACTTCTTGACGTGTTTATTCGTTCATGAAACGCCACCGTCTCCAGTGTCGGATTAAGCGAGTGCGGGGCCTGTAGCATACGCTATAAAGGGGCCCTACAGTAAAACAAATGTACACGTAAATATTAAAACACAAACATTTTTACTTGCATAGTAAAGTAATTGTATTTTTTCATTTGCTCTGCAGCCAAATGGTTTTCCGAACTTGCAAAAAAATGCCTCTTATTTATTTTGGTCGCCGACCCCCTGGGATAGAGCGTTGCACCCTCGCGCAAACGTGGACTTTCTCCGTCCCGCCACGTGTAAACGCTCATTAAGTGGCCGCTAACGCCTCAATGTACGGAGGACCGCAGGGCCGGTGGCGGCATTTTCCGTCGGGTTCCTCGCGCCCCTCGCGTAGTTCTCTCTCTCTGCGAGAGCGCACTTGAGAGACCGGTCCACTGAAGCGGACATCGCGGAACCGCCGCCGAGGTATTCCCTGCAAGCGACACGCTCGCTGCATTGCCACTCGCCGAGAGAGCGACGCTCGCTGTGACCGATCGCTCCGAAGCTTTAATTCGCCGCGCGAAAGCGTCGGTCGCCAAACGACGGTAACTCTACCTCGCCGCCGGCGCAAGCTTTGAACGGACGCGGCGCCACCGGCGCAAGCGTCGACGTTTAATCGAGGCGGTGAGTGGGGGGGGGGGGGGCGAAGTGGTGGCGGTGGCGGCCGCCGATCGACGCGTCCGCGTATCCCCCCTCCCGCCGGCGTCGCCGACGCGCGCAGGTGAACAGCATGAGCCTGTCGGAGGTGACGCACGAGGACGCGGTGGGGACGCTGAAGAACACTTCAGATGTCGTCTACCTCAAGGTGGCCAAGCCCGTGGGCGTCTACACGAGCGACTCCTACGGGAGCCCCCCCGACGTCGCCAGCAGCTGTGAGTGCGGTCTACTGGCGCGGTCGCGTACGTGCGACGCAGCGTGCATACGGCTGCGCATACGTTCGATTGCGTGTACGTGCGCCCGCACGATCGCAATCGCACGTAAGCGCAGCCGCACGTACACACAATCACAACACACACGGTCTTGTGCACACGCACAACCGCACGTACATACGCACCGGCACTCACCTGGGCATGGTCACCAGTACGCTGGCCCGACTGCTCACTGACAAAACTTCTGAGGATCGTTGCAAGCAACCTCAGGTCCACACCCGGGCGCAGTTGTGAGTTGTGAGCTCAGCGATTGTGTATGTGGTCGTGTAACCGGTCAGCACTTCGCTACGGACCCGGCTACCCGATTTCGACTCACGCTCACCGGTTCTAGGCCTCCCCTAGGTCGACTCGGCCTCAAATGAGTACCCGGTGCTGTGTGCAAACATCGTCTCTGGGGAGACAAAGGCGGCCGGGCGTGGTGCTGGACACCCACCCCCTCGTGTGCCGTGCCGGGCCTTCATAGCTGCTGCTCGCTAACAGCACTTGCCCCGACAGTCCGCTAAGGCTATGCGGGGGATCTTTATCTTTGTACGTGCGCGCGACCGCACGAGCGACCGAGCTCACAGCGCGTTGACTGGCTCACCGTCACACTCGGCCACGCGTTCACCCGCTCGCCCCCACCCCACCCCAAGCCCGCTCACCCACATCTGCGCGTTCACCCGCACATATCACGGTCGCGATGGGCGTCAAGGTTAAGCCGGTGGAGATGGCGCAGGGCGGTCGTGCATGTTGGTGGAAAGTAGTTCGGAGCAATGACGACGACGACGATGATGATGATGACGTCCTTTATCAGCTTAAGAAAGCCTCAGTGAGCCGTCTCTTAGGAATCGTTTTTGAGAGAGAGTTTTTGAAGTCGGTTCGTTACGGCCACTTTCATCGATGAACATTTTAGACTTTTGTGCTGGAGGAATCCGGAACCCTCAAAGAGGAGAAAATCCACCACTCGTACAGGGAGGAGTAAGGTGGGGGGAGGGGGGTAACACTCAAAGCACCGCACAGATGGATTGAAGAATCCATTGCTGCAGTGCCATCTCATCGCATCCTCGCCCCCCACCAAATGCTGCATCACTTCGTATTCCCAGGCAAGTCACCTGGCAACCCGAGCACAAGCCAGGCTTACTCACAGCCCTACTTCGCTTCTGAGGTTTGACGAGATCGGTCGCGTTCTGCGAGTCGCGGCCGACGGCTTTGCTTTGTAAAAAAAAAAATCAAAAATTTTTCCTCCAAAATTTGTTTAAAAAAATTTGCACCGCAACACGCGGAGAAGCTGAAGGCACCGGCTGACGGACGCGGGCAAAGGGCGCAGATTCCCAAACCTCATGAAATGGTCCGAAAAGCGCTTGCCCGCTTGTCTTTTCGACGGAGATATCGGCCCACCTGTATATCGAGATCGGCTCAAGGCTTCCCGCAAATCACGTGACTCTAAAAGCCTCCCCCCATACCACCACCAAGGCCCCCCCACACTCTGAATGCCTCCCCTCTCCCTGCCACTAACCCCACCCCCCCGTGTAAGGCACATTTGGAAACACGCATTTAGACTCGTTTAACACGTAGCAGGCTTTCGCGACCAATATTATTCATGATAAACGTTTTTGGGGTTAGATCGCGTTATTTATAAATGTGTCGTAACCCTCCGCCACCCGACACGGCCTAAACAGTAATAAGTATAACCCGTAAAAACAAAGTTTTTCACTCTAAATCCTTTATATGCGTGGCGGCTAGAGTCCTCTCGTCCTCTGGCTTGAGATGGCTGCCACCTATGGGTCAGATGATTGTCTGCCAGTATTAAGCAATTGGTAATTAAATATTTAATTTGTTTTCCCTAAACAGTGTAAAATTTTGGAACAAAAATTTTCACGAACATTAATTGTCTCGCACAACGAGTCTGTGTGCAAAATGTCAGCTCGTTTGGATCACAGGAAGTGGGTTAAAAAACGACCGAAAGATTTGCACGGTCCTAAGCAAGCAAGCACGCAAGCACGCAAGCAAGCGAACTTAATATAAAGGATTTTAAAAAAAGCGTCACGTTTACAAAAGACCCGATGATGCTGGATGTAATTACCAGCGAAAACGTAGTACTCAAGAATGGTAAATGATGTTGAATCACTCTTCAACACACCGGTGGGCTAAAGTAGTGAACTATTTTATCTTTTGTCAACGTGACACTTTTTTGACTGTTTGGCCGCGTCGGGTGGGCTGAGGGTTACGACACATTTGTAAATAAGGCGATCTAAACCCAAAAACGTTTATTCTGAACGCGTTGAGACTATTTAAGATGATTTTGCTGCTGTAAATGTCCGACTGATGAGCCACTTTGCTGAGCGATCTTTTGTGTCCAGGTCACCTGATGATGATCGCTTGTGTCGCGATCGAAACGTCGTGATTTGTTTTATTCTATTTTATTTTTCTACCCACGTGACTTCACCGAAAGAACCAAAGGGTATGGATTCCTGCAGTCACGAAAGCTTCAAATCAAAATAAGTGAATACCCCAGTGGGCTTTGTCTGGTAGGATGGGGATGGTTTTGTCGTACTCTGAGTTCTTTCGGTAAAGTCACGTAGGTAAAAAATGAAATTAAAATTAATAAAATTAAAATATAAAATATATTATTTTTATTTTATTTTAATTAAAGTCACGTAGGTAAAAAAATGAAATTAAAATTAATAAAAAATAAAATATATTATTTTATTTTATATTTTATTTTAATTAATTTTTATTTCATTTTTTACCTACGTGACTTTACCGAAAGAACTAAGAGTATGAATCCTTGCAGTCACGAAAGCTTCAAATCTGGAATGGTTTTGTTGTATTTGTTCGCGTTTGGGTGATTTGTTGGCCTTGTACTCCGCACTCCTATCGCGTTCTTGCACTTCTTGCTGTTCTGACGTTCTTACTCCGTGCCCCGGCTGGACATCTGTGAAACAACAAGAGCTTTACAGCTCATCGGATTCCTCCTGCAGGATAAATAAACGTTTCCGATTCTGAAGCCTGCGCTAATAAGCGAGCGAGCATGCAAGCTTGTCGTCGCTCCCGGGAAGCTGTTGGCGGTATTAGCCCCCCGAGAATGCCACCACCGCCGCCACCACCGCCACCACCGCCACCACCGCCACTACCGCCGCCACCACCACTACCACCACCACCGCCACCACCGCCACTACCGCCGCCATCGCCACCACCGCCACTACCACCATCGCCACCACCGCCACCACCACCACCACCGCCACCACCACCGCCACCACCGCTACCACCACCACCACCGCTACCACCACCACCACCGCCACCACCGCCACCCACCGCCACCACCGCCGCCACTACCGCCGCCACCGCCACCACCGCCACCACCGCCGCCACGCTACTACCGCCACCACCGCCACCACCGCCACCACCGCCGCCACCGCCACCGCCACCGCCACCACCGCCACCACCGCCACCACCGCCGCCGCCGCCACCGCCACCACCGCCACCACCGCCGCCACCGCTACTACCGCCACCACCGCCACCACCGCCACCACCGCCACCACCGCCACCACCGCCGCCACCGCCACCACCGCCACCGCTACTACCGCCACCACCGCCACCACCGCCACCACCGCCACCACCGCCGCCACCACCACCGCCGCCACCCGCTACTACCGCCACCACCGCCACCACCGCCACCACCGCCACCACCGCCACCACCGCCGCCACCGCCACCACCGCCACCGCTACTACCGCCACCACCGCCACCACCGCCACCACCGCCACCACCGCCGCCACCACCACCGCCGCCACCGCTACTACCGCCACCACCGCCACCACCGCCAGTATTCCCGGAATTCCGCGCAAACCCGCCCGCGAGGTGCCTCCCATTGGCCCTGCATCACGAGCCCGTCTGAGGCTGTGCGGAGCGGTCAAAGTGCCGCCACCACGTTGCGTCTGAGCGGAGTCATGTGATTTGGCTTTTGAACGAGCGGGGGGGGGGGGGGGTAGGGGGGAGGGGGGGGCATTAGAATGCAAACGAGTTTAAACTATTTATTTACCGGGAAATGTTTTACTTTTTTTCTCACCTACGAAAGGCCTCACTGAGCCATGTAGCTCTGCGTTTCAGAAGCGACCTGGCAACCACAAACGACTGCTAGGCGAAGTGTCTCGTCATCACGTGGACATTTATAGCAAGCCAGATACTCGAAACACGGGGAAGCCACGGTGGCTAGATGTTAACTACCTGCGTACCAGGCGAGGTAGTTAACATCTCCTAGCCACCGTGGCGTCAGAGTCGGGGTCGAACCCACGATCTCCTGCGCACCAGGCGAGGTAGTTAACATCTCCTAGCCACCGTGGCGTCAGGGGCGGGATCGAACCCACGATCTCCTGCGTACCGGGCGAGGTAGTTAACATCTTGCGCTGACATGGGGAGGGAGAAAACGAACCTAGCGGCAAGTAGCAAGTAACGGCTTTGGGTAAAACGAGCTGGGCTCAAAGCTTAACACTCGACTGTACAAGTCGAACGCGCCGCGGATTTCCAAGGTTCAGGGTTTCGTTACATACATTGGGCCAGATACATTTTACCGTCGCCCTGACCCCAACATAATTCACAGGCCAGTGGAGAGAGCACAATAATTAACGTAGAGGGGGTGGTGGTGGTGGTCCAGATGTCTTGTGACCCTGCCCAGAATTGACCCCCCACCTCTCTGCATTAAAGGTGCATTGAAAAATTACAATACTCCGACTGATGCTCCTGCTGTTGTGGAGTGACTCATGCAGCCAGCTATGGCTGCAGGGTTTTGGTAGTACATGTTGTTTATGCCGTTTATTGTGAAAATTCCGTCACAGTTCCTATGATCGCTGTTTCATTGCTTTCATGGCTTTATTTTGGTGATTTCGAAAAGTGTATTGGTTTAGCCATGTTTGTTTGTTTGTTGTACAGAGTTAAACTGATGGCCTTAATCTAAGTTGTCTTGTGG